GATAGCTGGAGCCATTAGCCTCCTGGAAACTGTTCTGAAGCTATTCCAAGTGAGAGAGAAGGCTCCTCAATATGTCAGTAACCTTCAAGAAGTCTGTTGCCATTCAGTCAGTGGTATGTATTGGTTTAGACCTTCCTCAATGACTGACTGGGAATTTTACTTCTTGCTCTGAAAGAAATGGCATCTTTTGTTTGCTTGACCCTGAAAGGCAGAGGAAGTTGAAGACTTTATTTATTCAACTCCAAGACATGGGAACTTACAGAACACTGTCACTTCCCAAAGAGCTTTTGTTTTTATTTTTCTTCTCAGCCTGTGTGGGTTCTGCTTGCCTTATGGATTTTTCACAGACAGTTTGCTACCAGCCTTGGACACCTGTGAGTTGCTTGCACATGGCTGTTAGCTGAGAGAAGGTTCTGTGCAGCTGCATGCAAACAATCATACTGCTTGATGTCAGAAATCGCTCTAGTTTTGATCAAAAAGCCTTACCACTAGATTTGTTATCCACCTACTTAATTAGACTGTGTAATATTTCAGAGCACTTCTGAAGTCTGTTACATCAGCATGATGATGGATGCTAAGAAAGGAAGCTGAGGGAAGTGGCCATGATCAGAAGCTGGCCAACACAACAGAGCACATGGACTTTGCAAAACTCACCATGCCATTCCATTTCTGCCTTTAGGAGATTATTTTCCCCTAAAGGAGATTATTTTACTGTCGTGTTTCATGACAAAAAGCAACCCTTAAGAGAAGAGGGCTCCTTAAGAACCCAGAAACATACAAGTTACTGAGGGTCTGGCACACATACAGCTACCTCAAAGGCAGCCTGAAGACAAGCCCCATTGGGGGACATCAGACTAAGGAGCTATCCAGAATATCTGTAAAAAAAAATAAATAAATCAAACCTCTCCCTGTCATGGGTACCAACTCCAAGAAAATGAGCCTCAGATTTCACCAGGGGCTTTCTCATCATGTCTCTCACTTTTGTTTGGCTGAGAGTGCAGACACCAACCCTCAATTTAGAGAGGGCAAATGATGGAAGGACTTTCACATACAGGGAACTGTTTTGCCAAGGATACTAAGAAGAAAAAAGGCCTTTTTTGGTTTTGTGCTGCTGCTAAGGCCACCAGTACTCCTGGTGAGTAAACACCTGCACAGACATTTACAGCTGCTCCTGCCATGAGGAAGTGCAAGCTGTGAGAGCACCTCACCTAATCCTAGGGAGAAATGCATTAATGAAAGGAGCTCCTTGGTCCAAACATTGAATTGAATCTCTGACACTGAGTATGACACTGTACATATGTTCTCACTCCTGTGTGCTGCAAGGAGAGGAGCACTGGTGGGGTGTACTGAACAGCAGAGCTGCAGGCATTCTGCAGAGACAAAAAGCTTGTGCTTTGTGTAGGACGAGTGGTTTAGCTATGCTGCACTCTATAGACTATTTGGATCCAAAGACTGATGTTATAACCCACTGCATTTTTTACAGCAGTTAAATAAATACGAAGCTAATGGCAGATGGTTTCATTTAAACTTCAAGAAAGGCACCGCCTATATGTCAATTTGGAATTGCTGTAATGAGCCAACAAGATTCTGAATTACAATAAAAGCAAATTTAGGAATGAAACTTACTGGAGACTTAACTGGTCTCAAGTGCATAGTTAGATTTCTAAAATAATAGCTGCAATCCAGCACAACAAACATGACTTGCTTAAAAACAAAAGCTGTAAATTGCAGTTGGTTTTCATTCCCATGAGAAACTGCAATATATTTCTTCTTGGAATAACTTCTCAGAAAGGCACACCAATGGTGCCTCCAAAACCATGTAGAGTGGGACTAGGACTATCCAGTTCTGCTTTTTTCCCCTCCAGACTTAGCACTACTGAGGTCCTTAGGTACCACCAGGCAAATTTTCTGTGAGTACTGCATGTGCCCACAAATGCTGGGGTGTGACATTGGGCAGAGACAGGTCAAAACTGGGCATGGCTGGCTGCAGGGGCCAAAGGGAGAATGGTACCATGGTACAGCAGCCAGCAGGGAAATAGCAGAAGGCTAAAGGGCTACAAGAACACTGGAGAGCAAGAAATGGAGGAGCTGACAGCAAGTACTGACTGTGAACTGGGGGATGGCCCAGCAAGCTTGGGAAAGAGACTATGAATAGGGTGGGGGAAAGAAGGAAAAGGGGGAAAGATTGGGAGGATTAACACATACCAATGTGTAACAAGTTCCTATACTTAAAAAAATTAACACTTAAACACAGATAACATATGCTAACATATTAAGCATATTTCAATATTCAAATATATTTCTGTGCACCTGCAGAGATGCCCTCAGTGAGCATTTGGCTGGCTCATCCTCATGACCACAGAGGGGCATGGGCAATTCAGGCTGACTGGGAGAAGAAGCACATGGCAGAAAGTCACAAGGTAATGGCCATTTTTACTCTTTTCCAACATACAGCGACTGAATACTTTAAATCAAATTTGTGTCTTGAAAATTAATGATGTACTGTTATTACTTTGTACAATATTGTTCTCAAACATTCATCTTGTTGACTGCACACGTGTGCATGTACTCTCTACTACAAAATTTTCTGTTGAGATTTGCCACCACCTGCACAGCACAAGGACTAGCACTGGTTGGCCTTATCCCAACTCTTCCCTCACAGAAAAACTCTTCAGACTGTAAACTTGACACTGCTTTGTACACTGGTGAAAACTGCCAGACCAGTCTTGCAGAACCATGTAATTAACCTCCATGCAGAGTCATGTAGGACAGTGGCTGACAACTCATTCTACTTCCTAATCTTTGTCTGCTCCTGTTCTCTGTCCCTGCAGCCGGTGGTGGGAATGGCTCAGGCTCAAGGCAGAGTCTCTAGTGGAACTCAGAAGGCACTAGAGCAATCAAAGTGTGATTAGAAAAGGGTGACAGCCCTGCTGAAAAAAGATTGTCCAAGTAGTTCAAAGTGTTGGTTCTCAACTGCACTGTCAGCTGCTTCATGTTTGGAAACAGTGACATGGGTAAACTTTAGTACACAGAAAAAGAAGAAAGAAGAAAGCAAGTAATGAAGTTCTAAAAAAGTTTCAAAGCAAAGACCACTTCGTTTGCATTACTGCCAGCTCCTCTGCCAGAGCGATGGCAGCAAAAAGGAAGTGGCAGTAGAAAAGGTTTCCCTTCTCACACAGAGATCTGGCTGAGGCATGAGAAAAGGCAGGAGGGGATGAGTTCTTTCACTGAAAGTTTTGCCAACTCCCCCCAGGGAGAATCGTCCTTTTCTAGGAGCCAACTCTCTGCAGGTGCACAAAGCATTAAGGTGGGCTTAAAAGAACAGCAGTCAGCTGGGGGGAAAGCTTTGCTGTCAGCTAACTTCCAGAAGCTTGCTCAGGACATGCTCAGTCCCCACGGAGGCAGAACAGGGTGGAGAAGCAATGTTCTCAAAGGAGAGAAATGGGTTCTTCTCCAGGCAGAACTTTTTAGGGAATCATTTCCTTCAGGTTATCTACTAACAGTCTAATTAAAAATCAAGCCAAGTTACCTATAATACCTGACTGAGTGTCATGAAAGCAGTGTTTGATGCTGTTGTTTACTAAATGCTATCCTTGTGTCTCATCTGTTTCGACATCTCTGCCCAAATCCCTGGACATTTTTTTGTTTCCTGGATTATACTGATGTTCCAAAGAAAAATCCCGAAGAACTTAAGGAAATATAATTTCACAATGCTTCATTATTAATCCAGATTTGCCACTGGATTCTGATGTGCATTTTCCAAATTATATTTACTCCAACAAGTGAAATTATTTCAAGTAAACCAGGACTCAGTAAAATGTTCAGAAGAAATACTTTGCAATTTAGAAATAGTGTTTGGACTTCAAGTGATAAAGTGACCATTTGCATGTGATAATTCGGCTCAGCCAGAAAAGGATTTTTGCAATAGACATAAAAAGGGAGTTTCAGGCAGATAAATGCCAAAAATAATTCTGATACATTTAACAAAAATTCCCCCAAGACAGCTGTACAGATTATCACACTGGACTGTACTGCATGGGAAAGTGTAATTATCAAAATGCTGAAAGCCTGAACTGAATTTTTTTCCTTAGTTTATGGAAATTTGCATCATCAGATAATGTTTTCAGCATGCTCAAATTTAACAACATTTGAGTTTGTGATTCACATGTACTGTGAAACACAGACATTTTACAAAAGCATTATGTGCACAGTTATTCAGAAAGTAAAGTTTACACTATTACAGCGTTCACAATGCATTTGATGACTCTGACAGTGACCCTGTGCCCCAAACATGTCCCAACTTGGCAGTTCCTCACCATACAAATTAATGACATATTTGTACAGGTCATGTCCTGTCTCTCATGTGGGACTGAAGTGCAGATCAAGAACATTTCTACTCACTAATAAGCCTGTGCCCCTGGTGCAAAGCTGTTTTCTCTGCTGTCCTGCAGCACTGTCACATGATGATTATTAATCCTGACCATGCAGTGCTGAGAGGTCTCACTCACACTGAGTGTTGTATAACAGAGTGGTAAACAGCTGAAGAAGCCAATGGAAGGCAGTCAGCATCCTAACAAACCAGCAAGGCCAAGGAATTTGCCTTGCTAAGCAAGCGTAGGTGGAAGTCAAATGAGAGGATGAGGGCAGTCTCCACAGTCAGTTGGATCTTTGTAGCCACCAAAACTTAGAGAAGTTATCACATTCATGTAACCCTTAATCATTTGTGTACAGATGACCAGAACTGGATGGCACCACCTTGGAGGAGCTAGAATGAGACACTGCTGGCCATGTCCCTCAGTCTCTCCTTAAAGTCTGGGTGACCAGGCACTGGTGACTTGCCAGTACCCCAGCTCCGGCAGGGACCCTGGCAATGACCAGTTTGACTTCTTTTGCAAAGCTATAATGACAAACATTTGGTTTAAGTTTGCTTTCCACGTACGAGCCAGGCACATCTCTTTGAAATCATACTCTTATCATTCTTATCCATGTTTTGGCCTTACCATTGATGTTTACAGCTGGCAAGACTATAGACATCTTTGGTCTTCTGGTCTTGTTATGTGTGGTCGCTGGCAACAACAGGTGGTCCTGGAAAACAGCAGAAAAGATGTGTTAAATCTCCTCTGAAAGTACAGAGCTGGAAAAATTCCCTTCTGTCTTACAGGCATTCCACATAGAACTATTTACACCTGCTTAGAAAATTCAAATTGTTGAGGAAGTCTTCCAAGAGTCACAGCAATTGCTCATGCTGTATAACCAAGAAATAATGCCTATCACATGCAGCAAAATACGCAAAAGCCTTGATCATGTGGAAAGAGACCACAGAATCAACCGGGTTGGGAGAGACCTCAAAGATCATTGAGTCTAACCCTACCATCGTTACTGGACCATGGCACTAAGTGCCACATCCAGTTTCGTCTTGAAAATCTCCAGGGATGGTGAATCCACCACCTCCCTGGGCAGCACATTCCAATGCCTGATTACTCTCTCTGTAAAAAATCTCTTCCTAATATCCAACCTAAACCTCCCCTGGCAGAGCTTGAGTCTGTGCCCTCTTGTCCTGGAAGACAGCAGTGTTCAAACTAACCACTCTATGTTTGAGTGGAAGCCACATCTGCAGGAAACACTCTGGATATTGATCTGACTTGCAAGGAAAAAATGTTTTTTTGCTGTTGCTGCACTCAAATGGCTCAACTTGCAGCCTGAAAAAATGCAGCTCTTCCCTTATTGATGGAACTTCAAGCTCCAGTCCAGGCACCTCCCATATTATTGTGCTGTGCTGATCTAGTTGGACCAAAGAAAGACTACTAAGGATGAGGAAAGCTTCCCATGCCTTTCAAAGTTTAGTTGCCCTGACAGAAGGTTGCTTCACTGCACCATCTCAGCATGCACTAGGCATTGTGAGGGAAGTATATTTGTTCTCTCTTGGCAATTAGGAACAAAAGACTGTGTTTATGTAATTGTCGAATTGAATTTACATTTCTAACTCAGGCTCTAAGTGAAACAAAAACCTGCCAATCACTAAGTACCTTTTCCAGGTCCCCAAGAATTAATGGAAAGGTTCATTTTCCCAGCCCCTGTGTTTGCCCCTCTCCCAATCCCAGCAATGCCAAATTCATTCCCAGTGTCTCTGAGAAGAACCAAAGCTGGCAGGTGCCACCATGCAAACATGTGGAGACCAACTCATTGAGAGGTTTTTGCAACTGTCCTAACACCAGACCTGAACACCTGCCTTTCACTTTTCAAGAGCCATCCACATCATTAAAAAGCAGAAGCAAGTTTGATGCTCTCATCCCATTTCATGCTTTTCCCATGTAAGAACAAGCATACAAATACCTCAAACTTTTGCCCAGGGTTATCTTTTTGGCAAACTGAGTTAGACCTCCTTCAGGACACAGTTACTAATTTATAAATGTCAGGGTAATTGTATTTTAGCTATTTTAATATCTAAGCACTACATTGTTACATGTAAGATTCAGGGAAGTGAGTTACACACAAAGTTAGGTCTTAAACATATCAAGATATTCTGTAGATATATTGCAGAAATATCTCTTTTTTCACCACCAAAAATTCCCCAACCCCAGAACCAAATGACTGACCATGAGAAGAAAACATTACTTAAATAAATGTCTGCAAAAACCATCTTGGTACCAAAATTATAAAACCACTCTGTTATAATTCTCAGATCACATATGCAATTCCCATTTCACTTTTGAACCACTAAGATTAAGACAACATTCAGTAAGACAATGAACTTTACATGAAAACTGTTCATGAAATCCAGTGTTCCCAAGGGATCAGGCCAAAGATAAGATGTCCATTAAATTATATTTTGTAACAATACCCTTGTCATGATTTGATGACTATTTTTAACATCACTTATAAAATGGTTATCTTGGGGTTTTTACTTTCAGTGCTTCTGAGTCTATGAGATCATTACCTAGCAAAACACAAGTTCTACACAGATGATTATCCAAGAATCATTACAAGTAGCAACTATTTTTTGCTGACCTATTTGAAAATTGGTGCATTGCCTGATGCTGGATTAGCTTTGCTTATAATGGCACCTTTATTTATTATGTAAATAAAAAATAAATTGTATTAAGAGCTACCACAAAGACTTTAGAATTGTATTTCAAATGTGCTTTAGAGCTGCTCCACAACTTCTCAGTGATTCAACACCAACTGTGGAGAAGACAGATGCACAGACTGTCTGGGAGCTGCCCATCTACAAAGAACCATTTCTTTAAAACCTGGAATTATGGAAATTTATCCATCTCCCCAATAATCTTTATCTTTTATATGCAGGAGTGTCCCTCTGACAATCATTCCCAACTTGCAAAGTTTCATAACTACTCTCATTCTACACCAAGGGCAAAGGGTATGCTGCAGAGTATCACAGACATTTTGCCCACAGTTTAGCTACCCACAACATTCTCAAGCCCAAAAGTCTTCAAATAGTCCAAAACTTTTATTTTAAAGCAATACCTTACATGCAACAGAAATGAGTGTACAGATTAGTGATCAGGAAGAAAGCAGACATTTAGAAATACTGTTTGAATGTATTTCTAAAATGTCCTGTCCTGAAGTATGCTGAATTGCATCCCAGATGGGAGTGTGATGCTATTACTCATCCCTAATTCTAAACACTAGACCCAAAAAAATCTAAAATTAAAATGCTGTTTGTGAAAGTAACACATAGTATAAAACTGAAAATGAATAAAAGCAAATTTTGCAAGTCAGCATCTGGCCCAGGAGCATGAGTGTCAACCAGAGGCAGAATAAATCATGACTATTACCCAACAACAGATGGCCTTGGCTTGGGCCAAGAGTTGCAGTGAGATGACAATTTAAGCAGACGATGCAGACCTGAGACTGTTGGCAGAATGACTGGAAAAATATCAGCCTGGAAAGACAATATTTCAAATGCGACCCCAGCTTCAGCACTCTCATTTTGCTTTTGATCATCTCTACAGATCAGTGATACGGAAGCCAGATGAGATGGACGCGACAGATAAATATAGCTAGAGATACTAAAAATCCAGCCACAAACACAATAAGTTGGAATGCTGAAGCACATTCTTCCTGAAGATAAATTCTGAAGATGCTACTTGTTAAATCATTCTGATTCATGACCACATTTATTAAGTCCTAGCCATCACAAAACATCCAGGAATATCGTTAGAGTATAGTTAATCAGAGCTGTAAACACTTAGAAATTAGGTGACCCTATAGAATGAATTTCCCGACTGAATCCTTACTCTGGTGGCTAATACAATGCCTGCTGATCAACTTCTGGACTCAACAACACATGGAACTGCAACAAGGATTCTGAGGCTTCTTCTGTGTAAGATCAGTGTTATTAGGGCTCTAACAGGGATTAATCTTTGGAGCCTCATGTATCTCTAACTCCCACAGTTGAATGGCAATGGAAAACCTGCTCCACTGTGCTAGAATATTCCAAAACTGGTTGCTCATGCAGCTTCAGCCTAAGTCTCCTGACATGTGGTTTGGTACTCAAAGTCCTTCCTCCCTAGATGTATGAAAACATGCAGGCATTTTAGCTTTCATGTAAAAAAATAAAATAATTGTCTCTAATTCTCCTAGTTAAAGGACATAAACAAAACCTCATCACTGCACAGCATGAAGTTTCATTAAACTATGCTAGTCACGGGTTTTTTGGATTTCATTTTGTTTCTTAAACTATCATAATTTCATAAGTTGGACTCTTGGCTGTTAAATGAATAGAACTGGCAATATAGCTTGTTTGGGCTTTTGCAATGCATGTCCCATCAGCCAGCAGTGCTGCAGCTCGCTGTAGGCAATCTGCTGAGCTCCCCCTCCATTTCTGTCTCAATGTATGTTCGAAAGAAACACGAGGGAACTGATCCTTGCAGTGTGCCCATGATGGAGGAAAATATTACTAGTGCTGTGGGGAATGTTTAGAGCAGATGTGCATGTGTTTGAGGGATACCCAAGTGACACGGGACACAAAGGAACGGATTTCCAGCCCCGCAAAGCTCTGCACTCTCAGCATGAGCTGTCTTTCCTCCTGTCCCAGGGGTTACTATCTGTCAAATCAATTCCCCTAGATTTTTCTTACCTTCTTAGTTGTTGTGCTTAGGTATGGAGAAGTATTTTTCAAAAGCCTTTTCTAGGGTCTTGAGCAAAAGCATTACCGACCAGAAAATAATTAACCTAACTTGATTTAGATGTGCTTTGTTACAGCACATTTAGCACATCTGCCTATGGGAACACTGCTTGTCATGCCACTGCAGGGCAAGCCAAGCCTCTGACCCTTCCCAGTGGTTTGGAGCACGTGCCCTGCAAAGTACAGATGTGACCCATGCAGAAGGCAAGACTCCACTCCTGTAAGACAGCCCCTACCTCTCTTCTCACAGAGACTTTGTGAAGATGTCCAAACGAGCCCTCCTCCTTGTTAGGAGATCCATCTCTGACTAACTAAGGATAACCTTTGTGAAAACAAGTGACATTTGTTACTTTACGGGAATAAAAGCTCCGAGGAGACTGGATTAAAATACCAAAGGAAAAGTTTAATATACTGTTCTTGTAATTTGCCTTGATGAGGAGATTTGATCTTTACCATTGCCTTGGAGACCAGCTATGTGCTAGAAGATTGCAACCAACAAAGGCAGTTGCCAGAGCAGAGGGGGCAAATAGAGCCAGGCGCCTCGGCATGCCAAAGGGCACTCTGTCCAGCAGCTTCAGAAGACTTCTTACAGTAAACAAACACTGTAGCTGGGCATTTTTTCATCTGTTTATGACTAAGAGGTCTCCCAGGGAATCATGCCTCAATCTATTCCAGCCTGAATCTTCACGCTGTGATTCTAGGGCTGCATTACAAGCACTGCTGGTACAGGCTGAGGAGCTTCCCACATCCCACTGAAGTGTTGGCAGCTTCCCAAAGCTGCTGGGGTACCATTTTTCTTTAATGGCACTACTTCTGGTAGTGTTCAACACGTCCTGACAGCTTAAAGGCTTATCTTTTAAAAACCACACCTAGTGATCTCAAGATGAAGCAGATAGAAAGCAAATGGGCTTTTGGCCATAAAAAAATTGTGCATCAA